ATAAATTTCAGCTATGCGTTCTTCAATTTTTTTGTCTTTCTAGGTTTCAGTTTTTAATTTCTGTTCTAATTGTGCCTTCTCATCTTCTAGAGACACAATTACTTGGTCAAGTACACAAACTTATGAAGTACTTTTTAATGTTAAACAATGAAAGTCAAACAGATTAAGTATTAAATAACATCAATTAAGACAAGAAGCAAAAATCCCAACTTGAGAAATACAGTCTGACCTGGTATACCGAAGGTATTATGAATTATTGCAAACTGAATTGTCCTTGGACGTCGTAACACTGCATCCTTGTGGCTGTTCTTGGCAATTGCAGCACAATCTTCTTGTGCTCCAACTCCTCATGCGTTGGATTCGGCGATTGAAGTTCGTTATGTCGCGTGAGACGAATACTTGGATACGCTCTAAGTCTTCTGCATGGAAAGCAGCAATGGGGTCTTCGAGAAACGTGGGCCTCCGTTCTTTGCAGGGACGCTGGCGAACGTTGTTGTTCACTCCCGCAAATGGCCACGTTTTTCACTGTAACTGTCCTAAAGATTTTCTTCTGGTACAGATGAGACCACGCTCCTTCTGATGTTTGGCAAGCATATATTTCCCTCCCTTTCTGCTGAAATGAAAATGAAATAAACATTGAATTTTATAAACAAATTGCATTATCAGTGTAAAATGAGTCTCTGTTGGCTAAAAGGCATTTCTCAGCAAAGTCCATTTGGTGTCCATGAAGATTTAGTTAGCCATTCTACTAAACCAACATCAATGCTCTCTCAAGTCCCGTGTTTACATTGACTTCTGAAACGATAAATGAATATATTACAAAGGTGGACTAAAAAACAAATAATTACATAGCGTGTGCGCCTTCTGACAAGAAATTTAGGAGTCGTTACAATTTTAATGTCGAACTGGAGCTCTTTTTTGGCGAAAACACTGTGCACAGCTCCCCACAGGTCCAACCTACGTATTTTCCTTCTCCAACCAGTCGGCCTGATCACATAACCACAGCACATTGCCCATTCAGCGCAGCTCATTGGTTTGAACAGTAGAGGTCGCTATTACTCATAACATTGACAGACCCAACGTTGTAATTGCAAAATATGATTACACAACACCACCTATGATAATACAAACAAACAAACTATCTCTCTGTAAGGCGCACAGAAAACAGTACAATATGCTATGACCGCTACATGTACCAAAACAGTGCATAACATTTTGAGATTCAAGTGCCCCAGGTACTCCGGTTTCTTCCCACAGTCCAAAGACATGCAGTCAGACCAATTGGACATGCTAAACTGCCCCTAGGGATGAATGTGTGTGTGAATGTGTATGTCTGTCTGTCTGCCCTGTGATGGACTGGCGACCTGTCCAGGGTGTATCCTGCCTTCTGCCCAATGACAGCTGGGATAGGCCCCAGCACCCCACCACGACCCAGAAGGATAAGCAGTTTAGATGATGTGTGTGTGTGTGTGTGTGTGTGTGTGTGTGTGTGAGAGAGACCATGACCCAGGTGTGTTGGGTCTGGAAATCGTTGAATTTATGGTGCTATGGATCGAGGGAAATAGTGAAGTAAAACACAGTAAAGAGTGGAAAAAACCTCCTGCCAGATTCAAAGAACTGTTGCCGTGACCTATGGCCATGTGGTTGGTGAGGCACAGAGAACCTGCTTATGTGCCTGTTTTCCTCTGGTTTTATATTGAGCTTATTTCATTTGATAGTCTATTCAGGGGAACTGAACTTGATGTGGTAGTTATTTATTTACAATGATGGTTAATGCTTTGTAGCTAGGTAAGTTATAGCATTCCTTCGTCTGTGTATTCATAATAGATTAACATTAGCACCTTCTTACATGAAGGTGAAGTTAGCTTCTTATTTGCCAGTTAGCTTTTTTATTTGCTCGTTTTCCACCTTAAATGGTTCATCAGCCAGCTTGTTGTTAAAATTTTCCCAATCCACCTTAAATGGTTCATCAGCCAGCTTCTTGCTTGAATTTTCCCGTTCCACCTTAAATGGTGCAGCTTCAGGCACCAGAAACCGGCAAATAGGAAGCCAACTTCTGTTTCGTCCTTGTTGCTATGCTTTGTGTGTGTGTGTGGGGGGGCATTTTATTTTTATGTTTATTAAGATTTAAAGTGATTCACACATTGATGGATTTGCTGATGTGTGTGAGATAATGTTTCTACCAGAGCTCACGCTATGCTGAGTTTTTAATGTCAGGTGCAGACTAAATACTTTTCTGCTGGTCCGGATGGCTAATCAGCAAGATCACAGTTATTAAAGAATTAAAAGCTACTGAGAGAGTCTGTGCAACCTAGAATAATCTATGTCTGAGGATTATAACAAAACGAATTTGGTGAAAATTGGTAAGTAACGAAGTTGTGGCCAATTTAGAGCTCATCACCTCTCAGTACAAGTGAATTTGTTCACAAGTGGATCCTGACTGATCCAACATGGCAGATGTGCAGATGTATCGCCTCAGAGAGAGAACAACAGACAACGCGGCATCTAGGTATGTATATCTATGGTTGTGACAATGTACCGACAATGTCGCCACTGTGTTGTGACAGTGTTGTAAGATGCTGCACCCAAAGCAGCACTCAGTAGCTACACTGTGACTAGAACATAATGTAACTTTCACTGGCATTTGACAATTTTCATAATATTATTTTGTTGGATATTCATGCATGGAAATGCTTGTGGTGAGGCACAGGTAATCACTCCACAGCAAGGCACAGGTAATCACTCTACAGCAATGCAAACAAAACAAAGCAAAAAAAAATGAAATAACTGAAATATATTGGGACGAACTAATGAAGGACCTATATAAGAAGAATATAAAAGAAAGAATAATCTGAGAAGAGAGAATATATATATATATATATATATATATATATATATATATAATATTTTATAATATTTTGACACAGGAACTGCACCAAAAACTGTGGAATATTCTTTACAGGTAACTAGAAAAGAGTATTTTTCCATAAAACTTGCACTTAAAAAACTAAAATAAATATTCAATTTTTTTTTTTTTTGCTGATGACACTAACATTCTAGGCCTTGTCACAGATGGAAATTAAACAGCCTACAGAGACAAGGTTAGCACTCTCTCAGAGTGGTATCATGACAATCTCTGTCTCAACATCAGGAAAACAAAGGATTATATATATATATTTTTTTAAGTGACAGTGATATTGTCTGTAGCAGTGATATGATGTAATAAATAAATAATAAATAATACTAAGTGACAAAGTGAAATGGTATTCAAAGGACTCACAGCTTCACAGCTTGTTCAGAAGCCTGACAGCCTGTCGGTAGAAACTGTTTATTAGCCGAGTTGTTCTAGCCTGGATGCTGTGATATTTCCTGCCTGATGGCAGTATGGACAGGCCATGTGATGGGTGACACTGAGAAATTTAACGCAGCTGACTCTCTCCACTTCGGCTCCATTCAGGTACAAGGGAGAGTGACCACCCCTCTGCAACTTCCTGTAGTCCATGATTATCTCCTTTGTTTTCCTGATGTTGAGACAGAGATTGTCATGATACCACTCTGAGAGAGTGCTAACCTTGTCTCTGTAGGCTGTTTAATTTCCATCTGTGACAAGGCCTAGAATGTTAGTGTCATCAGCAAAAAAAAAAAAAATTGAATATTTATTTTAGTTTTTTAAGTGCAAGTTTTATGGAAAAATACTCTTTTCTAGTTACCTGTAAAGAATATTCCACAGTTTTTGGTGCAGTTCCTGTGTCAAAATATTATAAAATATTATATATATATATATATATATATATATATATATATATATATATATATATATATATTCTCTCTTCTCAGATTATTCTTTCTTTTATATTCTTCTTATATAGGTCCTTCATTAGTTCGTCCCAATATATTTCAGTTATTTCATTTTTTTTTTTTTGCTTTGTTTTGTTTGCATTGCTGTAGAGTGATTACCTGTGCCTTGCTGTGGAGTGATTTTTTTTTGTAAAATTATTTCTTATTAAATGATATTAATGATAAATGAATAGTCATTTATCATTAATATCATTTAATAAGAAATAATTTTACAAATGAGAAAATAATTGTCTGCGACTGCTTGTATAAGCTTTTGGAATAACAAATGTCACTACATAGATTGGAAGAAAGTTTCGGTGAAGGATTTTCTTCTTTTCCATAAAATTGCAAGTAGTGTTATTTTTGGCAACAGTCTATATACAAAATCGTAATTTTTCATAAAAAAAAAAAAACACTGATATTTTTTTCATAAAGATCTTGAATTGTATATACGCACCCTAAATTTTTAATAAAAAAAAGCAAATAGTATTCTTGTACGTTGTACTACTTTTAAGTTGGTATAACTTTTGTAACTCTTCTGCCCTCGGTTGATTTTAAACCAATCACTTTGCATATACATATTACATTGTTCAATAAAGAGTCTTAAACACATAAAGTCCTATAATAGGAGTTGAAAAGCTTTCAAAAATACGACAGCAGTGTTAAAATATTTTATGCTGTTCTATGTTGCATGTGTGAGTTTCTCTGTATAAAAAGGATTAACCATTTACAAATTACAATTTTGCAAAGCAGCTCTGTTAGTCCCTATTTATTACTCTCTCAGGAGCGCCTTTTAGCGTGCTGTCATCGCTAAAATGGCGGATGTAAGTTAGTTTCAATCAGGGCTCAGGTTTAATATTTGAATAAATAACGTCGTCTAACTTCGTTGACGTTGTCAAAGCAGAAGGGCATGCAGTGTCATTTACATTCTCGAATTTGGCAAATCAAAGTAAAAATAATCATAACATATTTTTACTTCTTACTAGATTAATAGGCTGCATTTTAAATTCACATGAATTACCACGCTCGATTTAGCGTTAAAATTTTTGCTGTGTGACTTGAGCGCCACTTGCTGATGAATGCAAGGTACTTCACATGAATGAGTGACGCCGGTCCTATTCATCACCCTGCTTTTATTGTAATAGTAACATAAAACCAAACAATGTCGTCCCAGTAATTTAGTAAGGTAGCTAACTAGATAGGTGATACTTAGTTACGCACGCAGTTACTTGATTTTTTATTTATGAACAAACAGGTTCTGTTTTATGGTACGTATACGCATGCGGATACAAGTCTCCCAATGATGACATTTGCAGTTGTGAGAGGTTGCTGCTGGTAGCGTAACAGGGTGCTTGCTAGCTCTTTTGGCTAAACCTAGGTTTGTAAACGGGCTCTGGTAGGACCTTGGGATACGGATCACAGGATTACACCTAACTGTAAATACATAACCGACAGCATATCATAAACGGTCACATTTTTGGGTAAGTGAAGATTTTTGTGCTAATCAGCTTGCAGGGCTTGTCGTCAGTCATGTTGCTAAACCATTGCTAGCGGTAGTAGCGTTAGCTAGCTAGTTAAGTAGTAGGCTAGCAAATTATGTTTTTTTACAAAGACGTCGTTGTGGCTGGTGACATACAAACATTGTTGGTTACAACAACGTTATAAGTGCACTTGCAGCCTTAATTAGTTAGCTAACCTAACGGGGTATTTAAACATTGTTTGGTGAGTTTTAATTGCTGCACGCAGATGCATTTTGCTGTACTGTGGCACTATTGTCCATGTCACCTCCGCGTAAAATAAGTGCATTTTAATCAGCTACTGAATGCGTTCGTATGTTGTAGTTATCTAATTTGTTAGTTAGCTACAATACACGAACTCGCCAGATGACTCTTAGCTAAGCAAAAGCTGACATTTAATCAACCGTTTTCCGGTTAGCTAGTCGATATGTATTGTGAAGTTGTTTTCAGTCGCTGATAGTAGCTACGTTACTTGCTAATGCTTGTTAGGTAGCTAGCTAGCTAGCTTAGCTAGCTAACGTAGTGTAATTGCATAGCTAACAACGCAAGGCAAGGCTAAATCAAGTAGTAGCTAACCATTTGTGCCATTTCTGCAGCTACACAGCCCAGCATCTTATTCAGGAACCCTAAGTTATCTGACATTTTTGCTTTGGGGTACTGTTCGTGATTACCATTTAATGCGCACCCCCCGTCTGACTAAAGGATTAAGAAACCCACTAGAAACTATAGCTTATCTAGGTTAATCTTCTAGCTAGCTAGCTAGCTAGCTAATGGCCGGCCAGCTAGTTAGTTAGTCACCCACTTTGTCAGCTAGTTAGTTAGATAGTGGTAAGATTTATAAAGAGCTTGGTTGTAGCATTTATACCTGTCTGGTAAGATGTTTAGTTCAGCGTCCTTAATTTTGGCTGTCTTAATGCTTATTTTGTACGTAATGTAAGTGAATCAACTAGCTAGCTAGCCAGCTACTTCCTAGCTGCTTGTTTTTGCGTTTGAAATGTCAGGATGCGTTCCTGTATCGTTCTTGGGGCTAACTTCCACAGAATTGCCTGCGTATTTTTCGACCGTAATGATCGTGAGAGTTAAGTTTAATAACGAAATAAGTTTAGGGTCGGGAGTGTAAGCAACGCTTCTTCTGTTTCCTTAAGTGAAAAGTGTTTGGTACGGCACATTGAATTCACTGGCACAAATGCTGGCTTTGCACTTAATGTCATGATGACTCAAGCATAACTGTAAGTGTAGAATGATCTGTGTCGTTGTTAAAAAATAAAGTTTAAGCAGATGTTTTTTTGTTTTTTTAATGGTAGTATTATTAGTTGGGAAACTTGGGTTGTATCACAAATCTCTTAGAACAGTTGTTTTATTACATGACTGTTTGTATAAAAAGCGGAATCTGCGAAAAAATAATCCAGGTAACACCAGATGTGCAAAAGACCTCTGCCATGGACAGGTAGCACCGATCATGCAAAAGATCTCCACTGAGGACAGATCAAAGTCAACCCAAGGGAACTTATTTTTCCGTACAAATATAGATTCTTAACCACTTTGTTGCATGCTCCTGCTTCAGTGGCATTTTAAATCATACCTTGATTTACATATGATTATTAATAAACAATTTGAATAACTAGATTTAACTTGACACAACTGGATTAGATGAAGGCAATATCAAGATTGTTGTTTACTTTCAGACACTAGTATGACAATATTGTTATTGTGATAAATTATGTTAGTACTTATAGAGCACTGACCAACATGTTTCATAATAAAAAGAGCAAAATTAGTCCTTTTTAATGAATTTAGTGCTACACTGTCCAAATATTGAACAAAAATCATTGTGTTCATAGTTTTGCTAGTATTTTTTTTAAGTGTAGCACTACTAATTCTTTTTTTCTCAGTTCCAACTGATGAGATGTCCGAAAAAATAAATATTGTGACATATCACAATATATTGTTTTTTGCTATAGCACATACGTCTTACAAAAACTGTTCTGTGACTGGAGTTCAGCTTGCCAGACCAGGCAAGTTATTTTCAACGCTGTAGTCCCAATGTAGTGTTTTGCTTGCTCCGGACAGTTAAGCAGCTGTTAATGTTGAACCCTTTCTTGGAAGATTTTGTGAAGGACAGCTGCGGTGTTTACACATTCTTTTCGCTGTTGTCACAAACTTGTCAGTCTTGCTACAGCTTTGTGTGGCACATTAATTTTTGCCTCTCTTTTCTTATTCTCTCTCACTCCTTAATGTCTGGAATCACAGATGGATAGATGACTTTTAAAGAAGAGTAAAACAGTAAAATGATGTAGTGAAATGACTGAGTTCAGTTCAAGAACATTTACATGGAAGACAGAATGTCATACATCATCTGTTAATGAAGTGAGCAACATGTTTTTTTTTTTCTCTTGTCATGTAACAGAGGTCTGTATGGCCTATGCATGAAAGCTGATGGTGAGGTCAAGCTGGCTTTGTTTCTGAAAGAGTCAAGAGTTAGGAAGTGTGATGGCCAAGAGGATGTGGCTGTGGTGCATGTATGTTCTTACACACACCCACACACACACACACACACACACACACCCACACTCCAAACAGGCTTCAAGGGGAAGCAGTGACCATCAACTTGATTTTTCCTGGCACTGTTATGTGAGTATTTAGCACAACTCAGGAGAGTACACACAGATGTTGCTGGAATGGAATGTGCTAGCAAACACTAACTAACTAAATTCTGTATTTATGGGAGAGATGCATCTACTAAAGCGTAGGGCATAAATATGCTGCTACTTGCTGATATTGCATCCAAAAAATACCATTACTAGTCTTTAACTGATGGCTTGTTTGTTGTTCTGTGAATAGGAGTGGGTTCTGGGAACCAGTTCCACTATGGAATTGGATCTACATGAGTCTGTTAGTATCTTGTTGGTAGGTGCATTTTCATTTTGAATGTACTGGTTCATAGGTATAACTAAACTCATATAGAGGTGTGCAGGAACATACCTTTCTTTATATATATTGTGTTTTTGCGAGATTGTGATTTGGCAGCATTCACTTTGCTTTTGTTTTTTGATTTTTGCCAAAACAAGACTACAGTGCCTGATGAATGCATAATTAATACAAACAATTATTTTTTGTAGAAGACAAAAACATATAAATACACACAAAGTACATCATCTATGTGTGTGTGAAGAAACAAAAATGAATTGTTACTTTCACAAAAAATAACATATGGAATAGTTGAAGAATATAATAATAGAAGTGAAGAACTTAACTTTACTAGCTATCACTATCACTGTTTCATCACAGGTATTTGTATTTATTTGGTTTGTGCATTTAAACATATGCAGTTTTAAAATCATAAATGCTGCAGACATTTTTGTCACCTGTAAATATAGCAGTGCTTAATGCAGAAGCTGCTTTACGAATAGCCCCCCCCCCACCCCACCCCGTTAACTCCACTGTGGTATTGGTGATATCTGCTTGTGCCTGTATGAAATTTGAAGTGACATGTTTATGCCAGCTTGTGTGTGTTCACATTTTATAATACAGTTGATAAGATGCACATTGTATCTTCCCAGCCTCAGTTGTAATCAGCTGCTCCAGTTATTCTCAAAACATTTCGGACATTGCGATTCACTGCGCTGCACCTCGCATTGTGCGACACTCCATTGAAATGAATAGGATGTGGTGCAACAAAGTTTTCGACACGTTTTGCAAGGCTTATTATTCAGTAATCATTAGCAGCAGCCATAATTGACTGATTAGTTGGATCAGGTGTGTTGGGAGAAGGGACACTAAAATGTCCAGAGCAGGACAAAGGTTTGAAGCCACTGCGTTATTTGATTACATTTGATGAAACCATAAAGGCATTAAATGTAATGTCACATAATATACACCCTCAACTTTCTGTATTATTCCTGCCACTCTTGCAAGTTATTTTAAGGCATCTTCATGTTTTCTAAGGTAGGCATATGAAATTCGACATACTTCAACAGTAAACAATTTGCCCACCAGAGGCAGTAGTGATTTTTTAACACAATCAGCTGACATTGAGAGAGATTGTTGTCCTTGCATGAGGACTCACCTCCTCTCTGTTGGCTGTCTCACTGTAATTGGAGATGAGCCCTTGAACTGTAGTGTAGCAAACCTGATGATGTTATTGCTGTGATGTCTGGTGATGCAGTCATGGGTGAGCAGGAACCATTGGAGGTTCCAGTGTTCAAGGATCCTGATCCTGGATCCTGAATGCCTAAGGCCTGTTGCTCAGGAGGTCTCAAATCCAGTTTCAGAATGATGAGTTCAGGTCCTAGTCAGTGTAGTTTGTTGACTAGCTTCTGGGCTGTGATATTATTGAATACTGAGCTGAAGTTGATTGTCCAAGTGTGCCAGGCCAGATGATATGGCTTATAGCATTCTCTGTGGAGTGGTTTTGCTTGTTGGCATATTGGTGGTGGTCTAATGTAGGTGGAATGGAGTCTTTAATGTGAGCCATGAAGAACTACTCAAAGCACTTAACAGCCACTCAAAGCACTTAAAGTAACAGTAGTCATTAAGGCATGTGACTGTGGAGTCTTTTGGCACTTGGATGATGATGGCCGATTTGAAGCAGGTCAGGACTTCTACGACGGAGAGATGTTGAACCTAGTTGGTTGGTGCACTCATTGAGCATGCAAGGTTGCAAGCATGCTGTGCAAAATGTGCCCTAACTGTTGCTGTTGAATGAATGTGAGGGGAACCCTTCGAGCAGTTTAACTTAACTGGTGCCATTAGTTCACAATTGGCTAGTGGAGTTGCTTAGACTCTGTTTCAAAATGGTTTAAATAAACAAACAAGTGCATAAGTGATTAAGTCAGTAAATAAGTAAACAAATAAATTAATAAAGTTGTGCAGCCCGGTCTGTGAGAAGTCTACCAATCGATAACTTGTGAAATTTTCAGTGGTCAGTCAGTCATCAGTAAAGTGGAAGAGTCCTTGACCAAACA